GGGGTAGGGGAAGGGAAAGAAGGGAAAAGAAAAAATATGAGAAAAGGAAAAAAATGGAAACAAAATCTTTGCAAATAGGGAAGGGTGGAGGGAGTAAAGGGAGGGCAGGGGAAGGGGAAAAAAAATAAGAACCAAGATGCTCATGTAATGGTACAAGATCCCAATGATGAATGTAACTGTATTTTACACCTAAAATGTACCAATAAACTTAATGGGGGGGATGCAAGCCCAGAAAATTAGACTCAGTGCGATTTTTAACAGGTTAGATATCTTCAGCATTAGTGCTCTGCCTATAGATAGATTTGTTATATGGCAGTGGTGGCGAACCTATAGCACATGTTATTGTGTTTTTCTTTTCTTTTTTTTTTTTTTTTTTTGGTACCGGGGATTGAACTCAGGTCCTTGCGCTTCCGCAGCAGGCGGCGAAACCACTGAGCTAAATCCCTGGCCCGTGTTTTTCTTTTAAAACAAAGGATGTTAATTTAGAATTGTGTTTTCTAAACTAAAAAGTATTCAGGCTTAATTGTAGTATTGGCACTTTGCCATAAATGAGTGGGTTTTGGGTTGCAATTTGGCACCTGGTCTCTAAGAAATTCACCATCACTGTTACATGGTATCTATTTTGCCAGACCTCAGACTCAGTTTTCCCAAAGAAAGCTAAATACCTTACCTCCAGACTTGCTCTATTTCTCATCTGTTCATTCCCACCATCTCTTCCAGCCCTGTAGATTCAAAGCCAAAGTCCACCTAGAGTCTTTCCCCTAGCTGGATCCCTATAGCTAATTACCTTCGAAATCTGAAGATTTTACCACGCCACGTCTCCTGCAGGGAATATTAATATAACCACATAATGAAGCCATGCCCCACACGGATCCATTCTACCCAAACCATTCTGTGCTTTGTTGGTGCTTTGCGAGCTGTGTACAAATTCCTGACGCAGGTGCTAACAGGCCTAACTGGGACAATGACTGCTTTCGGTGGTCTTACTCCTCACCACCATCTGTCATCTGGCCCCAGTAACAGTCAAACCATAAATGCCTCGCCCACACGCCTCAGTGCTTAATGATCCTCCGCTCACTCTGTTTCCACAACCTGCAAGTCTCCTAGCTAGCTCTTCCAAGGCCATGAGGTCTAAGGTCACCCTGACCTGTCTGGAGTCCAGTGTAGAGCTCGGGCCTCTCACATCCTGCTCTCCTGGTGGGTCCTGATGGACCCCGCATTCTCCTGACCCCAGTACATGGTCATGTCACGTCTTACATCCGGGGTCCCTCCAGTGGACAGGACACTGTCTTAAAGATGGAGCTCAGGACATTCTGAAAATACATAGTTTAGTGCAGGAGACCAGCTTGAAACTGCACTGAGCAGGCTTTAGATACTACTGATTTGGCTTATGAACTTGACTATTGATTCAAACTATGAGTCATTCCAAGGCTTAAGTGTGAATTGTTAAATGAGCCTTTGGCTGGTGTATGGTGACAGACTTCCCGATGCCAAGGGTCACAACTGAGGTCTCAATGATCGATGAGGTTGTGATGTCTCTAATAGCAAGGAAACACTGCAGCTGAGGAATTATGACTGTGACGCCATTCTCCGAGATCAAATGTTAATGAAGATAATGCAGGTGGCTCGTTAGCTATAACCTGCAAGATAGCACAGGTGACTTGTTAATTGTGACCTGTCCTTCACTAGAATCCACAGTTACTCCCCTTTCACAGCCTAGCTCATCAGTGCATTAGTTCTGCTATTCCCTACATCTGCCTTTACGCCTCCCTTGATACGATGTATAATCATAAATACTAAATAATTAAGAGATTTTGTTCTTAGCCAGGAGAGCTAAGATCAATTCCCAGCTTTCAAGTAATAAACCACCATTCATTATTCTTTGTTCTTTGTATATTATTTTTTCATCCCCTGCTGGATCGGGCGATCGGGCATCACCCAATAACTGGTGGCTGGGCTATCAACCCAACAGTTTATGTATAAATAAGATACTATTGGAGGAGTCATGATACCACAGTTCCCTTTATTGTACCCACTGCTTTCAAACTCAAGCAAATAAATATCTTTCAGCCCCAGAACTGTGGCAGAAGGTGGGAACAGCAGTCATCAGGCAAACTGACTGCTGGTTTACACTGAATGTGCCATTACAAAACCACTCAGTCCTTGGTTTAAAGCACTTCAAGCCCAATGCCAAAGGCAGCTGTAACAAATCCTTTAATTGCTATTAGACATTTATGGCAAGGATCCTAAAAAAAATATCTTCAGTTTTTAGAGGAGCTACTCTTAAGACACTAAGATACTCTTAAGATAGTCTTAAGATACTAAGTAGGTGACAAAAACAATAAATTTGTAACTGGCTAAGAACTGCTTTTCTATAGTACAAGTGACAGAGGCAGGGTGAACATGCTGGTTGTTATTACTGTTGGTTAAACTTAAGCCCCCCAAAGTATCTGACACTCCATCACAGTGATCAACTTTTGGAGTTTTGTGATGGGTATGTTGGCATGTTTCCACCATCAACTGCCTTGAAGGATAAGAATATTCATGATCTAATGTAACAGAAAGTAGATGAGCTCCTCACAACCGATGCTTTCAGTGAGGTGAGGATCTCATAGGGAGCCAAGTTTTCCACATCTCCGCTAAGTTGTCCACAGGCTGCGCCAGCATAAGGCCTGATCCTCTGTAAACAACTGGGGCTGCCTGCTTTCTCCTTCACAACTCTGATAGTGAGTAAAGAGGCCTCTCTTCTAATTATAGAAGAAAAGTCTCTCCTCATAGTATGATTGACCAGTTTGGGTCAATGACCTAGCCTAGGACAAATGAGTTGTCCCCAGGCACCAATGTGCTTGGGCTCAGGTTGCTAGAATTGTTTCTGAAAGGGAGGTTAGAATTTTCATGGTTGGCTTAAGACTAATGAAAACCGTTTGGGGAGAGATGGACATTACTAAAAGCATATAAAGGAGGAACAGAATGGATGTTTGTAGAGTAACAGTTGTATATATGAACAGGGATTGCTGTACTGTTCAAACGATAAACATGATTGACTTTTTCAATCAAGAAACTGTAATTTTTGAGACACAAGATCGAATGGGCTTGTGCATTTGCAGAGCGATATGTTTCAAAGATGTAAATCCTGCAAAGCTGGGGACCACTGTGGTCTTCCTCAGTCCCTGATCCCTGATGCTTAGCGGGGGAGGGGGGTTTTCAAAATTGCTTTCCTGCTTGGATAAGTGACATAAGCATAACTTTCCTTGGCTTATGATGAACATTTGTACCACAACAGCATATCACACCGAAGGGGAGTCCTCAGGGCCAGGTGAACTATAAAGGGCATCAAGGGAGAGGTTTTGCAAAAGCAAACGAACCCTGCAAAGAAAAACTAAGCTGCTGCTGTTCTCCACACGAATGATGTATGATGACTCCAGCCAGCATCCATGACAGATGCTTTATGTAGTTGAAGAAATACTAATCTGTCAGTGTGTACAGCACTGCACATGACTCTGGAAGTCTGATCCATGAGCTCTGCTCCTCTGGCATCTACCACTGTCACTTTTACTCTATCAGCAGCCACGACACATGGTTCCACAAAGACATCACCCAGTGCCCCAGCCAACCGAGCTAACTGTGCTCTCCTGCTTTCCCTGGAGTCTGATGACCAAGCGAAGAGGGTCAAAGCCAGAGCTCACCACTCCAGCTGTCAGCTCCACAGACTCTGGACCATGTGGCCCCTGGGCCTCACTGACCTTCCAGGACACTGGAACTTCCCGCCTCCAAATGCCATGTAGCCATCCAAGAACACATGCTTCTCTAAATTTGCCTCTTTCCAACGTTCCTGTGGGAAGAAAACATTTTTCCCCAAATCAGTCTTATATAAATAAGCTTCACTTTATTTCTCTAGGCTAAAAATGACCTTGTACAGCTAATCCTTGCACACAAAATCTCAGGGTTGTTGGCAATTTTTCCAAGCTGTTATTAATATCAGACACAATTGTGTTTTTGGAACATGAACTTTATAAATAACAGGTTTAAAAAGAATCCTGTTAAGTGGTAAACGTAAATGATAATGTAAATCAACCACAGAATGGACCTAAGAAGAGGGAGGATATTTATAATAAGGTCTCAGGCTCTGTCACGAAATTGCTCTTGGTAATAAATTTAATCATAAGACACCAGCAGCCACCCTGTGGGAGAGACTTGGGTGTGCAGAATGGATACATCCACAGCTTTGCTGGATATTTTACCTAAATGCAGAAAATGAACTGAATGTGTACCTAAGACTCTGTTCAGCCTTGGAACTCCCTGATCATAAATGGCAGATCAATGTTTTAATTTGCTTTATTTTTATTTTGTGTATTCCCTGGAAATCAGTAACAGAAACAACTGTGTAAAGAATATGAAACAAGTCTTCTTTCAGAGCCAGGTGTATTTACTTAACACATATTTCTAGTTCCAGATAAAAATTTATTTTAAGATAGTGGATGCTTAGTCCAAAATTTTTTCTATCTGATCTGAGAATATTTTTCCCTCTACATTACAAATCTCACGTACTTTATAATTAACTTTTTGCATAGTTACCAGGTAAATATCATGTAGTCACGTAGTTAATTTATGAACTCATACTCTTTGCAAAACAAATTAAAATCAAAGGATAAGATATTGAAGCACATAACTTACAGGTCTGAATGATTCTGGATCAGGAAAATACTTTGGATTTCTATGCAGCCAAAATGGAGACAACATCAACAAGTCACCAGATGGAACTGTGTAATTCTATGGTAGAAAAGTCAGTTTTTTAAAATCTGCTTTGAAAAGTGTTTGGGTCCTTAAAAATAATGCTATAACTATATTATGGCAAAGATATAAACATTTTAAAATTTATTGTGAGGAAAAATCTAACTTTCCCATACAGGTCATCTCTATTATCCAACTTTAGCAATGACTGATTTCAAATTCTGATTATTCGACGCATGTTCATATATATTTGGTAACACAGAATGAAAACAAGATAAATGTCAAAGTTTTATAAACTAGTTTAGGTAGACTCTAGTGCAGCTTTTGATGTTTAAGGCTGACATTTGCAGCAAGTGTTCTTGATGGAAGCCACGTGTATCTCTATGTTGTGGGACAGAAACATGGGACTCAGAGACAGGGACAATAGCCAGATTAGCACTGAAGACATGGGCAGTGTCCTGTCCCTGGGCACACTGATAGGAGTATCAGGGAAGGGGCAGTGGATTTCTTGTTTGTTTTGTTTTGGATGATTTTTCTTTTTCCTTTTGGTGGTGGTGGGGGAATCAGGCAGCAGCAATTAGTGGAGAAAGAATTTAAAGACAATTGGTTGGGAAGACAGATGAAAAAGTAAACGTGGACACTTATTTGGCTGGGTTTGTGTTTGGGGGTCACAGAGCATGTGGGACTGAGGATAAGCATGTGCTTCCTCCAACAGCAGAGCCAACACTATCCTCCCAATTCAATGATAAGAGGTTTTCACGATCTGTATAAACTATACCAAGAACTAAAAGTGGTTTCATTGTGTCTCCCTTTCATCACCATATCCAGGAACCACAGGACAAGATCTCCCAAATTTTATGATCACCAAGTACCCACCAACCTCCCTGAGTGAAGTATTTTGAAGTTCCTCCCACGCTATTTATCATAAGCCATGTCTATTTTACTCTGCATGATTTTGGCATGTCTTCATGATCGTTGCAAAATACTTCAAATTTATATATCCAAAATAGGTACACCTTACAACTAAAAATAGGCCTTTGTTTGATATGAGAGTGTGGGGTATGGGGGCAGTCATCATCTTTTAACCTAAGTGAACCCCTGTTGTCTCCAGTGGGAGTGAAACTGCTCGAGACCGGGCAATTTTGGTACCAGTAGTGCTGGAGAGCCAGATCCCAAACTGGGAAGAGGGAGACTCTGACTGGTACACTCTGACCATTTTTAAAAGGGGAGACTTGTGATATCCCAATTCTAACTGTTTATTTCACCTCCGCTGGAACTGAGGAGGAGTTTTTGGCTGGAGGGGTTATGGCTGACTCTAAAGCAGCCACAGAGGTCCCTAATGTGTGCATGGGGTGGGCTGGGGTGGCCCTGGAACAGGCCTCCAGCAGGGACAACCCCCTCTTTACCTTCTATTGACTTGTGATAATGACTGGAAGCCTGCTGATTGCTGCAGCCCGCAAATCAGGCTAGTAGAGAACAGCAGGATTCAAACAAGTCCTTAGGTACAGAATTCACATTAGCAAGAGGGAGGAGGCAAGAAAGAGGTTCCTGTTGCAGCACCAAGTACCAGGCTGATGAAGGGCAGAGAAGAAGGTCTGATCTGACTGTATCAAAGAAACACTTGGGGTAGGCAGACACCACCATGGCCAGGCTATGGAGTTGCCATCTTGGTTTATGTAACAAATGAAAAAAAGACCACAAGGAGACAACACGTCAAGATGGGCCTCTCCAGAAGAGCAAAGCAAAGGCAGGACTTCCTGTTGTCACTGAAGAACGATAGCAAGAGCCAAATGGGTACCAGAAATGTGGAGTCTTGAGGAGAACAGGGAAGTCCTACAAAGGCAAAGGTGAAGCAGAGAGGAAGGAAGGAGAGAAAGGAATCTGAGTGTCTATGAGAAGGGGACAGTAACAGTATAAAACACTTTTTAAGAGACTTGTTATGATGTACCAATCAGACAAAAGCAGTATTAAAAAACAACTATAGACCACTGTCTCTCACGAATTTAGAGGAGAGTTCCTCAACAAAATATCAAAACAAATCCAACAATTTAGGAGAAGAATTATAAGGCATGATCAAGTGCGCCTGATTCCAGGTATAAAAGGCTGATTCAGCATTGAAATATCAGTAAATGTAAGCCACAACAAACACCCAATGGGGAAAGAAGAGTCTCTTCAATAAATGGTGCTGGGAAAACTGGGCACCTCTGTGCAGCAGAAAGAAATTAGATACTTATCTCATGCCATCTGAAATAATTCAACAAGGATTAAATATAAGTTCTGAAACTGCAATACCACTATAATAAAATAGAGAGAAAGCTCCTTGATGCTGCTCTAGACAATGAGATTTTTAGATATGAGCAAAAAACTGCAGGGCAACAAAAACAAAAATGGGATTTCATTAAACTAAAAAATTTCCATACAGCCAAAGAAACATTAGACAGAACGAAGACAAAATGGGATGGGAAAATACATTTGCAAACCATGCATGTAATAAGGGGTTAATATCACAAATATATAAGTAAATCCAAGAACTCAATAGGAAAACAAATAATTAAAAATAGACAAAGGATCTAAATAAATATTTCTCAAAAGAAGTCATACAAATGGCACTAGGTATATGAAAAATGCTCGACATAATCAGGAAAATGCAAATCAAAACTGTAAAGAGGTAATGCTTCACACTCGTCAGGATTTCTGTTATCAAAAAGACAAAAAATAAAGGTTAGAGAGGAAATTTTGCCTTGCACAGTATTGGCTTGGGATGTAAATTAATATAGCCATAATGGAACATTCTATGGAAATTTCTCAAAAAGTTAAAAATAAAACTACCATATGGTCTAGCTATCCCACTACTGAGTACATATTCAAAGGATATGGAATCAGTATGTCAAAGGGATACGTACTCCTACGTTTATTCCAGCATTCTTTATAATAGCCATGATATGGAATCAACCTATGCCCATCAACAAATGAATAAATATCTCTCTCTGTCTATCTCTCTCTCTCTCTCTCTCTCACACACACACACACACACTCTCACACACACACACACACACACACTACTATTTAGCCTTTTAAAAGAAGCAAATCCTGTCATTTGCAACAATGTGATTAAACATGGCAGATACTATGTTAGGTAAAATAAACCAGGCACAGAACAACAAACACTACATTATTATGATTTAAATCTAAAATGTCCTGGAGAAGTCTCCTGTTTGGAGGTTTGTCCTGGTTGGAAGGTGCAGGTCACTGTGAACATGACATGGAAGGGTGTGCTTTGATCCTTGGCTTCTCCCTTCACTCTCTGCTTCCTGGCCACCATGTGGTAAACAGCTTTCCTGTCATACTATTCCACCATGCTGTTTCTGATTTGGAGCCAACTAACCATGGACTGAACCCCCGAAGCTGTGCGCCAAAATAAACTTTTTTAAGATGTGGGTGTTTGGTATTTTGTCCAGTGATGGGAAAATGACTAATATAGAAAATTGGTACCAGGAATGGGGTCATTGTTAACTGACCCTGTGGTTCAGAAGCCTTTGGAAATGGTTTGTAGGAAGAGTTTGAACAGATTTGGAGAAGCTGACTAGATAAATCCTAGAATTCTGCAAGCAGAGCTTGATGTACAATACTCGTAAGAGCTCTGAAGACCAGGATGGTGATAGAAATGTGAACAGTAAAGGCCAAGTTCAGGAGATTTCATTTGGGAATAAGGACATCATTGGCAGTTAGACAACAGGTCATACATGTTATGCTTTGACAGAAAATTTGTCTGCAAATTGTCCATATCTTGAGACTTGCAGGAGACTGAAATTAAGGGCAGTGGACTAGTTAATCCGGTGGATAAAATTTCAAGGCAGCCCAATGTTCAGGCTGTGGCTACTTTTAGCCAGTAAAAATCAGAAGAAAATGGCAGAGCTAAATGATTTGAAAAGTTTGGAGTTTTACAAGAAAGGAAATGCCTAAAAAATTAGGGCAAAGGATAGCATAGTTGCTGAAAAGGTTAGGATTAAAAAGAAGCCAGATGTCTTCAGGGGATCTTAGAAATCAATAAGAGCCTATCCATTGTGGGGTTAAAGAATTGCAAAACTGTAAACTTTTTACAGTAATTTCTCAAATTGTGAATTTTCAGAGACACAAAGCGATCTCCCATTACAAACATTCTTAGATGCAAACAAATCACGGAAGTAGTTCACATGCCTGCCAGACATTGTCATAGTTTTGCTTATGTGTGCTTACTATATAGTGTGTTAGTATAGAGGAGTACAGTGCTCAGTACAGTGCTCAATGAGAGCCCAGGGTGTCTTGAAGCAAGAGGAAAAGCAGTGGTGATATGAAGGGGACTGCTAGGAAGCACATTGCAATATACACTGTACATTTGTGTTAAAGGCGTGGAAGATTCACTTTGTCATACTTAAGAACAAATCCAACTTATGAATGAATCCATCTTAAGAACATTCTCCCAGAATGGAACTTGTCCATAAGTTGGGGATTTATTGTATCTGAAGACAGTCTTGGGATGCCTGGTCATTAAAGGCTGCCTAGGGAAGTGTATCCCTGAGTTCAGCCATGTAGGCACTCAGAGGCAACTACAGCTATGGTCCAAGGAGGCCCAGCTACTGCTTGGGCTGGCAGCAGGTGTCAGCATCATGCCTGTGATACTGGTATTTCAGACATGCAGAGTGAAACACTTATAGGGTCATCGAGGTTTCCACGCAGATTTGTAAAGAACATCTGGGAGGTCAGGGAAAAATCTGTGAGAGGGTCACAGCTCCTGCCAGTGCACCTGAGAGGGTCCTTTGTGAAGCTATGAGAGTGAAGCCAAAAGGAAAAGGGAGACCCCAGGAAGGTAGGAATGCCAGGAACATAGATCATCTACTGAGGAAAGCTGCAGGCAGTGAGCAGAGGCACCCCAAGGGAAGCCATGTGGGCTATAACTGGCGATGCCATAGGGGTGGGGCCATGCAAGTCCTTTGAAGCTCTTATTTTGACACAATGTGCCCTGGGTGCTAGACATATAGCTATAGGATTTAACATTTGCTCTGCTGGATTTTGGTCTTTGCAAACAATTCAGTTTGCAAGCAGAAGTGTTTGGCAAAACTATGCTTCCATTTGCAAACTCCACATCGGACGATGAACATGGCCAGGGCCATCTTCCCCGAGCAAACATGATCGTAGCCATTTTCCCCAAAATCATAGAATGAATTAAGTTCACAAGGTACAACTGTATTGTATTCTTGAAAGTTGCTAATAGTAAGTAAATGTTCTAACCACAAAAATGTGAGATAATACGTATCATAATAACCTTGATTTAGCCATTCCACAATGTATACATATTTCAAAACGTCCTAGTGCTTGCTTTGGCAGCATAGATACTAAAATCAAAACATGCCATATATGATAAATAGAGTGGTATCTTGGCTCACAAATTTAATTCATCCATGATTCTGAAAAAGATGAGGTCACAATTAACATGAGAAAATGAAAAAATGGAAACAAAGTCTTTGTAAATAGAAAGGCGTGGAGGGGTTGAAGGGACGGCAGGGGAATGGGGAAAAAAATAAGAATCAAGATGGATTATGTAACGGTGCAAATTTCCAATGATGAATGGCATTATATTGTATACCTAAAATATACCAATAAAATTACTTAAAAAAATAAGATGAGGTCACATTTGTGTTCGTGTGGGAAAGATGGCTGTGGTCCTGTTCATCACTGGATGGAGAGTTCTCAAACAAAAACAAAATTTTGCCAAATGCTTCTTTTTGCAAACCAAATTGTTCACAAACAAAAAGCATTTGTGAACCAAGGTACCACTGTAGATTCTTATTCAGTTAAATATAAATGGAGATTCCATAAGTCAATAACATGTCAACCTAAAAAATGAGTGAGCAAATACGTACTTTTTTTCTAGACGGATGATTATTTTAAAACAAAACCAATGCTTACCAAAATTTTCACTGGCTTCACTACTTTCCTAGTTATGACACCTGGAGCTCTTAAACGAATGGCTTCCAAAATACACCATTTAATTAGCAAGAGTTTCTTCAACTTATCCTCTGACACTGTGATCTTCTCTCTACCTGTCGAGAGAAGGAGAAGGATGGAATATGAGACCAGAAGGCGACATCCCATGGTCCTGGGCGGTCATGGCTGAGGCTCAGTACTGCCTGTGGCTGCCAAGAAAGTGCTACTTGTGCTTTTCCTTTTTTGATTTTTTTCTGCAACATGATGGATGCACATCTGACTTTGGTTCTCACAGACCCAATGCTATCAAGTGGAGAAAATCCCTGTCAGGAACATATTCAGTTTCCTCCTCTCATCCCTGTTGCCCAGGTTCTCCTTCCATGAAAGGAGAACGCAGTTGAAGAGGTAAGGCTGGCACTGAAAGCGCAACGCTGAAGCCATGAGAAGCCACCTAGCTTTCTTTCTCCATGTTCTCCCCACCAGGTCGTTTTTCTTTTTAAATTATTCATCTCAGAAGCCCCAACAGAGCATTAGGGTAGGGCAGCAAGGCACAGGGAACTCCGCTGGCACGATGCGGGCCCCTGGTCTAGAGGTGCATGGAACTTCCCTAAAGTGACTCGCACACCGCAGTATTTAGACTGAAGGGACCTGGAAAGGGAGCACAGGTCAGTCTTGTGTCAACCAAAGTATGGTCTGTGCCTTTCAGCCTGATCAGACAGTTGAGGTAATGATATGTCAGTCACAACACATACCGTACACCTTTACACCTGTGTGGCCTAATCCACAAATAGCTGCTAAGAACCAACAGACATTATTATCAACTGAAAACCATCTTGATATGCCATGAAATGACAGTGACACTACAAATTTCACTTTATACTTTTCCTGAACTATCCCTGTATTTCCCTAAGCTAATTCAGAAAAATAATTTAGAAAAGCCATAGCTGGAATTAGGAAATGTATCTTTGAAGTGATTGAGACTTTTGCATATGTAGCAGAGATCCTTACTAATCTCTACTGCTTGGCACTTACTGGAGAGTAAAGTGCTAAGCACTGCAAGAGACAAGAAAGTTAACTGGCAGGAGCCCTTTATCCTCATGCATTATAGATTCTAACTAAAGACAGTGTTTAAATGAGAAATGTGGAGGCTGTGATTTGTAGATTATTTGGGGATGACATGCAAACTTAGAGCAGTGCCTAGCATGTGGTAAAGGCTCAATACAAGGAAATGTTTTGGGTTTTTTTGGTACCAGAGATCGAACTTGGGTCCTTGTGTCTGCACAGCAGTCGGCAACACCACTGAGCTAAATCCCCAGCCCCACAAGGAAATGTTTATCATTATTGTACCCTCATGAAATGAAAGCAGTGATTCTATAGAAACTGTATCTTCCTGATCTACTCTTATTTTCATAGATGATATTTTTTCCCTCAAACCAACCCAGCTTCCCTCCTTTGTTCCTTCCTCCCTCCATCCTTCTCTCCCTCCCTTCCTCTCTTTCTGCAGAACTAGACACTGAATGCAGGCCGTTGTGCATGCTAGAGAAGTGCTCTACCCTGGAGCCACACCCCAGCCATTCCTACACAGCACAGGGCTGAGTCCCACACTAGCTAGAGACCCTGTCTGAGGGACTCTTCCACTCACTCTGCTGTGGTGTGGGTGTAGTTTGTCCTCCAAGGTCCATGAGCTTGAAGCCAGGTCGGCAATGTGCTATACTGAAAGGTGAGGTGACTTCTGGTGACAGGTGACTGTGTCAGAACCTCTCTCCCAAAGGGATTAGTGCCCACCTTGCAGGACTGGGTTAGTAACTTAGAGAACAGTTGCTGCAGAGCATGGCCACCATGTGCTTGGTCTCTTTCGCACCAAGTTTTTCACTTCTCTGCCATGTCATGATACAGCCAGGGGACTCTGGCCAGATGTACTCTATTTGACCTCTTCACTATCATAGTCCAGAGCCAAGTGAATCTCTTCTCTTTCAGACTTCTACAGCCTCAGGCATTCTGTTATAGCAACCCAGGTCTGGCAGGAGGTCTGCAGGTGCTGAGCCGGGGATGAGGGGGAAATGGGTGGCTCTGGGCAGTACTGTGGGACAGAACCCTAACTCCAGGCAGCTGGTGTTGGAACTGGGTTAAATTCTTGGATACCCCGATGGTGTCTGACTGAAGAGACCTGTAGGACTGCTTGGTATGGAAAACCAATGCATCTAGCATAATCTAACATTTTCACTTTAGTGAGTAGAGCCTATCTCTCCTTCTAACCTTATTCCACACTCAATCATGGAGTCACAGTAACCTATAATTTACCCAATCTCCACCTCATGCACTTAGCTCACCTCAAAATGGGAATGCTAAAAATGTCTGCCCTGTAAGGTTCCTGTCAGGATTAAAAAAGCCAAGATATTTAAGTTCTTACACTGAGAGCTGGCAAGTGGCAAAAACTCAGTATGTAACTCACCACGTTATTCATTCCTCCACCTTTCCCTGCTCTTTGAAAAGCAGGCTCCCTCCCATTCTTCAGGCCTTTGCTAAAAGATCTCCTCTCTGACCACCATGGCAAACATCTCCCCGATCACTATCAGAGCACTTTATCTCCTTATAGTTCTTATTGATATATCAATTGATTTGGCTAACTGCTTATTGTTGCCCCCTCTAAATAAGGCATGATTCTATTAGTTCAGCATCTCGTTTCTTTTTTCATTTGATGCACACCCGGTATCCAACACAGAGCCTGGTACATGCGGGGGAGGGGGTGCTCCATACATTTCTATTAAATGGATAAATGGGTGAATGAATGGAAGAATGTCTAACATGGGGGAAATGAAGACCAACAAAAACATCTGTAGTTTGTGTAAGGGCAACAGAAGAAATATAAGGAAGTCAAATCGGAAAGACATTTCTGAAGAAGAATTTGAATTGTTTATTTTTTGTGGTACTGGGGATTGAACCTAGGGCCTTTGCACTGAGCTGTATCCCCAGCCACTGAACCTTGTGATCCTTCTGCATCAGCCTCCTAGAGTGCTGGGATTACAGATGTACAACTACTCTGGGGTGAAAATTTTTAAATAAAAAAGAGTTTAGTAAAAAGGCTGTGTATACCAGATCAGTGCTTCTCTGGCCAGGCATCCATAGCCTGAGCTCCCCATGACATGGATACTGCAGATCCAGGGACCACACTGCAAGGAATGCAGAGCTGGAGTCAAAGAAGTAGAAGATACCCTCGGATTATGTCAATCAAATGTTCTAGGCTCAAGGCAGTTCTTATGACCGGCTTCAAAATTATTCTTTTAAAAAAAAATAGGTAAACATATTTAGTGGGTAAAAATTATTTAAATCAGAAATTCTGAGTGCAGATACTGACCCTAAAAGCCACTAGCTTTTATTAGCCTGAACATACAATGGCTTTTATTTCTTATGAAGCACCATAAAACTAGAAAATGTGATGACCAACTCTGATGGAACTCTTGAATTAGCCAGGACTTCAGAAATGGACCACAATGCCATCATTTTCATAGCTACAAAGGTGCCATTTTCACTGGAGCAGGACTGCCAAGGTGCTTCCACAGAAACCTGTGCATTCCGGCCTTGTTCTTCCCTATATGAGACCACAGCCAAAGGCATGCGAATGTGAGTATGGGCAGCAGGCCAGTTCCACTGCACGGTCTCCTCCTGTAAATGTCCATTTGCCAACAGAAACAGCAACACCCACTCATTTGTATATGGCCTATGGCTGTTTCTGCTCTACACTGGCAGCATTAAGAAGCTACAGAGACCTTATAGTCCATAAAGCTTAAAATATTTACTATCTGGTCTTATATAGAAAAAGCTTGCCCCTGCCTCAGGAAGACAAAGGGAACAAGCTATTGCTTTGCTATTCATTGTACCTTCTATTACCCAAGTCCAGGTTGTATCTCAGCATGTGAATTTTATAATAGTCCACAGCTGGTGCAGTCTTCACTGCTCTTACCTTTTCTATGACCAAGTCAACCACATAATGTCTTGCATGGCATCTGAATAACTGTGTGAAATATGGTTATTTTACAAGGTAAATACAGACCACTTCTTAGAGGAAGAAGTATCTCTGTTTAGTACTCATTACTAAATGGACTTCAAAAGAGGAAACAAGGCAAAAAATGTTAAGAAAATCCATTTCCTGATACTCAACTTCTGTATTTACTCTTTCCTAAAATGGACCTATCTAATAAAACACCATGGTTGTGTTCCCCCGCCCACACACATTGATCACCCCTTCCCTACTTCACAATACATTTTTTGCCTCTCAGCCTTCCTGATTTTTAATCTGTTGCATTTCCCCTGAGGTACAAACATCTCTTGAGTACCTGATAAAAAGGGGTGGTTAGATAACACAGGGCACTGAAGGAAAAGCCCTTGAGCGCAAAGTGGGGCAGGCACAGGAGGGAAGTCCTGACAGCAGACCAGTCTCTCTCATCTTCTGACCACGCAGTCCTGCCCACAGACCACCCATCTGCTCCTGTGTCCAATATTCCGGAACCATGGTGAAGGAGCAGGCTGTGTGTGACCACAACATACAGCAGCATGGTTATTCCTACTGAAAAGGGCCAGAGGAATCATTCTGTTGGAAAATGGGTTGGACTGGGGGATTAGTCTGGTAACAAGGACTGCTTTGGGAATTTAGTAATAGGGCAGCCGTTTTTCATAACTGAATGAACTAAATCACTTTTCCTATAACAAACGACTTTATTATAAATAACAAATGACTTTTGTTATTTAAAGGTTTTAAATAGACTAAGAGCATGTAGGCAATATATGAGGCGGGAGATCCTTTGGAAATATTTAAACATAGGGTAAAAAATACTAGTCATCAACTTAACATTGAGATAAAAAATTCGTTTGGAATGTACTTGAGAGAGGAAGGAAGGAAGGAAGGAGGGAAGGGAGGGAGGGAGGGAAGAAGGCAGACAGGCACTGCCTAATGGCACATGTTGCAATACAGCTCTGTGGCAGAAACCCTGAACGAGCAGAGAGAGATGGAGATGAAAGGCCCAAGCTGGGGTGTGCGCTAGGTGAGGAAGATGAGTGTGGAGATTTCTGACAGAGGGGCCGAGCTCCATGGCAGGTGACTGGTGACCTGGCAGGTCAG